ATGCATGTATGTATGTATGTATGTATGTATTTATGTATGTATGTATGTATGTATGTATTTATATGTATATATATTTTTATATAGATATATATATATATGCATGTATATATATTTATATATTTATATATATATACATATATATATATATATATATATATATAGTATATATATATATATATATATATATATATATATATATTTATATAAATATAGATATTTATATATTCATACATGCATGTATGTATGTATGTATGTATGTATGTAATATATACATATGAAAACAGAGTTTCCAGATAATTAGCTAATTCTCACGGTAACCATCCCACCCCGGCCTGTTATATTAAGTTCTTATCTCGAATGTAAGGCTGGCCATTCTCGATTCGTACGATACTCTCGTCTTTATTTCTTATAGAAAAGCCGCTCTATGCAGTTCATCTGCGCTACTCGAGATGTTACACTTCCTCTATTATCCTTGACACCACCCAAACAAATATAATTATGATTATAAGCAGTATTACATTCGCTATCAAGTCTGATCCCCGTTGTTTGGTCTTGCTGCTATCTTCTTTGCTTGACTGTTTGCCAATGCTCGATGAACCTTGCAACCTATATCTGTCATTTAGTTTCTGGATTCAAGATAAAATTGTAGTACGTTAAAAAGAAGACAAAATATTACAAGTGCCAAATGAGATCAAAGGCGGGCGCATATTCTGCAATAAGAAAAGTTAACACACGCTACCTTTGTAATCTCGTCTGCAATTTCCGGAAATAGTTTGACAAACTTGACATTGGCTAGGTTTGTCTCCAGTGACTTCTGGGCCAGTATCTTCTTGCGCGTGTCTGTGGTTTCCACGCTACCCGCAGTGGGTGTGTTTTCCAGCATAAAGGAGAGGAGCCCAATTAATATACTAGACACGGACCATGCCGGATGCCATGTATCTGACGAGAGATGGAAATAGGAAAGGGGATGGCATAAGGTGGACAGTTGACAATGTTGATCGCACGTTTGTACGTTGCAACCTTGATAAAAGGCTTTCAGCGCTAGCTATAACAAATTGAATTTGAATTCACTCACAACTGTATTTGTAAACATGACTTGTCAGTGGACCTTAGACGCTCAATGTATCGGTTGCACGCAACTTCTTGAATGCGGTATTCTAATACGAAATTACCTGGATGGAAGTCACTCAGGGATAAGCACAGCCTATATTTGGGAGAGAGTAATCGGGAAATGGTTGAGTGACAAGAGAAACATCGCGCACTCAGATACTTTTTTAAACTATGTATGTCAGCAGCAGAACAGGGAAAATATTCCGAAGACTCGGGCTAGAACGCTCCATGTAAAACATCGACAACAGTACCTTGTGTTTGTCTGAAATCGGCCAGATGGTGTAACCATCATGATACCGGGTGGCTTATAAGGGTAATCTTTGGGGAACAGGATCTTCCCGTGGTAGTATCCACCTGAAGCGAGAAGCGCAGGTTGGTGTTATTGTTCATAACCTCGGCATGACTGTGAACCATGCCACACGTTGCATGCGTTGACTAGGAACACTGTTTGCTGACAAAATCACTAATGCCATGAGCACATACATACCTACGTAGGGCGAATCCTCCGGACCTCTGATACAGTAGTGCCTGTGAGGCCTCAACAATGGAGTGAAGATTAGTGGTACATTTTGGAGTGCGCGCATTGGTGCATGCACCACCAGGTAACTCTGGAAGTTGTGAACGATATAATAGCTTTTAGAAATCGGAAAACAACTACTAATACCACGTCTAGAAATCTATAAACAACTACTAATATTAAGTCTAAAAATGTAATTCATCCATAGTCTACACAATTCTACAGTTGTCCGACGCTAAGAGAGGCATAAAAATATATTATAGTCTCCACGCAGGCACGTGCATGATGAAGTACTATAGCAGATGGCATCAACAAAGCACTTGAAGCTATAAACGAACCCCAGCAGTATGTATCACGTTCAGCGACAGTTCGCCCAAAAGTTTGGATATCGATAGATGATACGTACTGATACACACATAAAAAATAAAAATAAAAACACCAAATATCTTTTGAAATGTATTTATATATATAT